GGGGTGAGGGTTAGGGTGATGGTGAGAATTTCGGGTTTAGAGTTAAGGTTTGGGGTTGGGGTGCCAGGGCCATGCGCTAGAGTTGGGGCCTAGTGTCAGGATCTAGGGTCAGGGTGAGGGCCAGAGATCAGAAGTAAGGGCCCAGCGTTCAGGGACAAGGTTAGGGGTTAGTATTCAGGATCAGACTGGCTGCTGACCGTTGTAGTCCATCTGGACTGCTAAAACGGAACCGTATTTTGGTATTTTTGGTGGCTTATAACCAGTAGAAATCGATGCCTTACAGTGGTTGAGGCTGGAAGTCTCAGATGAGGGTACCAGCATGGTCAGGTGAGGGTCCTGTTTGTAGTGGCACACTTCTCCTCTTTTGACATGTAGGGGATGGGTTAGGGTCTCTTATAGGGGGAGTAATCCCATTCATGAGGACCCCACCCTCATCACCTAATCACCTCCCAAGGGCATCCTGTTCTAACATCATCACATCAGGCATTAGGATTCCAACAGATGAATTTGGGGGGAAACAAACATTCAGATCATAGCACTGATGTAAGAGATAGATGGAATTTTTTTTTTTATAATTGACCTTTACTTAAAAAAAAAAACAAAAAAACCCCACCTCTTTTCCCAGTCAAGGTACCAGGATGATGGGCTCTATCTCAGTTGGAATTTCCAAATCGTGGCACTGAATTTCAGAGATTAACTGGATGTGCCACGAGGGGCTAAACTGTGAGTCGGGTGTTCCCTGTGCCAGAGCCCAGCGGACAGCAGGGGGCACCCTAACCTGGCTCTCTGACCTGAAGGAGATCATAACGTATCCTGGCCTCAGAGAGTCAGACCCACATCTCGATGGGGATGATGGGCTGCAGGATGCTCCTGCAGCTTCGGGACAATTTGGGGCAGTGAGGACAAGGCTAGGAGATGGTTTCTGTTGGTATCTCCAATGAACTTTAAGAAAAAAATGTTTAAGGTCTGTTTATTTTTGAGAGATTGACAGAGTGTGAGCAGGGGAGGGACAGAGAGAGTGGGAAACACAGAATATGAAGCAGGCTCCAGGCTCTGAGCTGTCAGCACAGAGGCTGATGGGGGACTCGAACTCACAAACTGCTAGGTAATGACCTGAGCCAAAGTCGGACACTCAAGGAACTGAGCCACCCAGGTGCCCCAGTTAAAAAAAAAATTTTAACGTTTATTTATTTTTGAAAGAGACAGGGATAGAGTGTGAGCCGGGGAGAGGCAGAGAGAGAGGGAGCCACAGGATCTAAAGCAGGCTCCAGGCTCTGAGCTGTCAGCACGGAGCCCGACGCAGGGCTTGAACCCACAAGCTGTGAGATCGTGACCTGAGCTGAAGTCGGAGGCTTAACCGACTGAGCCACCCAGGGGCCCCTATGTTGATAGTTTTTATGTATCATGGGGAAGAAT